TACCCCCTACCCCCCCCCTCCCCCCACCCCCCCCCCACCCCCCCCCCCCCCCGCGTCCCGCCTCCTCCACTGACCCTCATGAAATAAGGGATCTTTACAAAAATAGCTGGCCAAATGCAGTGTCACTTTCCTAACTTATCTACATGGAATATATACTTATTATACACAGTTATACATATATTATACATTTGAGGACTATTTTAAATTTAAACGGCGGGATGAACGGCTACTTAAGTTAATTCTTATTGAAAAAATAATAAAGGAAGAAAAGAGATCAGTGATCACTCTATTTTATAAGGGCCCATTTGGTTAAATTTCCATAATTTGCTTATATTGATGAGAACCACTTTTGTTAATATGAAATTTTAGAGCCTGTTTGAAAAGCCACCTAAAGAAATACTTTGGAGGGATATGTACATTTTTAGCCGTAACTATTGGTAAATTCTGGTTTTGGTCGTTATAATATTTTATTAAGTATATTTAATCTTGTTTCTTACCCTTTATGTATGAATAATATGTTATATACTTATGTTACAATTGTTTTTAGAGCTGCATTACCCCCATAATGGAGTAACAATACATATTTAATATAGCACATTCGTAATTGAATGGTTTAAAGATTAAATTTGTAAAAATTCACAAGCACAAAGATCAAATGTGCATATTTTAATTAATTTATGGTTAAGTATATCATCGAGATCAATCAAAATTTATAAATATTGGTTAAGTATATCACCGGGACTAAATCAAAACTTATAAATATTTTAGAGATTAAAAGTGAAAATTTCACTACTTCAAGAGAATGACACTTTGTATTTGGTCAAATCACTAAAGAAACTGTTAGGTGTTTGTCCAAATTTTCTTACCATAATTGGTTTTCCTATCTCATGAAGGAAAGGATAATATATTTACCATAAAAGTTTTTTTCTTAGAAGGAAAATATAATTCTTCCATATTTGGCTAGTCCCTTTTCTTGTAGGATAAGATTTGGAGTTCTATAAATTGAAGATTCATCCTTCTCATTCAGTAGCATCCACAATGTAGCCATAAGGGGTTTGAGAGTCGTGTTTATGGGGAGAACTTTAAGGGACAAGTGTTAGTGTGTCACTTGTGTTTGCCTCTTCGTGAGGTTGTTCTCTCGATATTTTGTACTCTCTTTTTATTATAGTGTATTGCTCATCTCCGCCGTGGACATAAGTTAGTTGACCGAACACGTTAAATGTTTGTGTCTCTTTTGTTGTCTGATTCATCGTCGTTGAAGATTTACTTTACTAGCTTCCGCATGACACCTGATTTTTTCAATCCTAACAGAAACGTTTTTGTTAGTATTTTTTAAGAAACAAATAAATGGAGAAGCATTTTTCTTAGTATATACAGAAATAATTTTAGTCTATATAACAGATTTATATGGTGGGGGTGGGGGTAGGGGGGGGGACACTCCCTTCTTTTTATAGTCTGTTTATAATTATTAGAATATCTAACTGATTCCCATAACCAGCGTAATAAATTTCTATTTTCGTTAGAAACAACTTTTTTCCACTATAATCAAATGATGGTAATACGAGTTGTAGTATAACTTGTTAAATTAAAATTAAAATTTTAAGTAATCCTTCAACAATAATCAAAATTATAAAGCAAAAAAATAGAAGGATGAGAGAGAGGCAGCGTTTCTTGAAACCTATATTTTCAGGCAATTAATTAATTCCAACTAAAGCATATTCACAGTACAAATTAGTTTAGCATGTCTAAGGAAGTAGATGTGATTCTTTTAATCTCTTCCTTCTTTTTTTGAACAAGCCACAATATCTCTCCAACCACCCCTACCTATTTTCCCCCTCTTTAAAAAGCAAAAGACTGTCTTTTTTTTCTGTCACAACCATCCACATTAATGCTGCAAAGCCCCTAAATAATAGATTAAATTATATTGCATTGTAAATAATTAAACTTTTTACCGAGCATATCATGTGGAAATATTTCTTTTGTTACGATCAAAATGAAAGGTTGTACTTGTCTTTTGTTCCCAGAGATATTGATTCGAGTTCAGCTCGTGAAAGAGTTTGTGAATATATTCCGAAATGACTTTTTATTCGGTGCTAATCCTCAAAATCTAATCTAATTCAGTCACACAGAACTTGATACTTATCTTCGCCAAACCTCAAATACTACGAGTCAATAGCAGATGCGAGTTTTATTAAAGTGAAAACAACAGTGATAATATACTGGAGTTTGGAGCAACGGTGCTCCAGTCTCCAGTATATTATGCTGGAGTTCTAGTATACTTATGCTGGAACTCCAGCATAATATATTGGCGTATTATTCCGGATTTTGAACAGTGTTTTCGTTTAGATTTATCTTTACATGAAAAGTGGCTAAATTTCGATTACTTTTGAAATATGGCTATTTTTGAACGACCAGTTGTAAATCTGGCTATTTTTGAATTCTACCCGCACATCTCCCCTAATTCAATTGTCAGTTTGTCACGTATTTCGTAGAGTGCATCATCTTCACAAGTAAAGCAAGGATCAAACAAATTGTACATAATAAAATAACTCAGGCGTCCCCTACTTCTGCCTCTATCAGGCGTACCCCCCCCCCCCACCCCCCCACCCCACCCCACAGCATAGAAGAGCTGCTCCAACATCCGCACTACAACCAATAAAAATGCTCTCCAGAGCCTTGACGGACAAAATAATATTTTTGTTATTAAAGATAGCCTCGACCAGAAAACTACTACTATTACATGCCAACCAACTTATGATATATACATCCCCCAGAAATAATTACTCACAAACTTTGTTGGTGCAAGTCATTCTTCTCCGAATTGTATATTTATTAGGTCCAACTTTCACTGAAAGTTCCTTAGTTTTGTTAGAGATTATATGTAAAAAAAAATTTAAAAAAATTGTAAGTAGTGATGCTGTTTTTCCCCCTATAATATTAGATTAAGACGAGCTTAAATGAGACTAGATGGATACTTGAACTTCATGTAACCACACCAACTTGCTGGGAATCGAGCTAAAGATAATCCTTTTGATTAACATCATGTTTAGAGATAATCCTTGAATACCACGTAACTCAAATCCTCACCTTCACGTGGATCAACAGAAGCATGAAAAAGCTACTGAATGAAGGACTTCAACAAACTCTGAACTGTTTCACAGTATAATTCAAAAGGTTATTACCAAATTTCTTCAAAGACAGGCATAATGTTTAGCAGATCCTAATACGGATAACATCAAGGGATGTTGTGGGATGGATGAAATCTCTGCACCTCTAATCTGAGATCTCGGATACGAACCATGGTAAATGGAGAAATTCCTGGTAAGGAGTGTTCCCCTTTAACTACGCCCCAGGAGGCGTGAATCTGGATTAGTCGGGCCAATGGGTTTCGAATACCAAATGGCTAAACAACAAAAATATATCCTTGTAAGATAACAATAATAGAACAGACAACTTGCAATTGGTTAACTGTAATTACTTCATTTGCTGACATCAAAATAAAGCTCTACCGCAAAATTGTGGAAAGGAGAACCCTCAGGAGGATAAAACTATCCTGATGTAAAAGAAGAAACTCGAACTAGAGAATATTAAGCCCAAGATTTCCACCAAGTACCTGCTATTATACAACTTTCCTAACTCAATGATGCATTAACAGAGCTACTTGTTCATGTTGTCAATGCCTCAAAAGAGCAATATATGGCTGTATAAAAGGAAAAGGTTTTCAATGAAATAACTAATAAAAATGATAAATGATGTTGGTCTCAAACACAGCTCTCTATTTCAGCTGAGAAAAGGGAGAGGAGCTTAAAAGTACGGGACTGTTGGGTGCTTAGATCTCAAGCTGAAGCATAAATTCTTCAAGCAATAACACCGAAAGTATTGTCATGAAAATGTTGTAGCTTCGATATGCGAAGAAAAATAGCTCTCTATTCAATTGAAATAACTATGTAAAAATTCTTTTAAACATAAACATTTTAAATCACAATATATATATATATGCGTACTTGTCTTGTTCTTCGGCTTGTCCATTTGTTGCACTCGTGGTCGAATCCAGTTGCACTTGTTCCTACTTGATGTTCTACAAATCGACATGCTTCTGCTGAATATGGGATGTTCTACAAATCGACATGCTTCTGCTGAATATGGGCTTCTATTCATGGTTGTTGTAGTGCTTCTCGTTGCTGCTCTTCAATTAAATTTAGCAAATGTTCTTTATTTGACAGTAACAGCCATTTGTACTGTTGCACCCCACGAACTTTCCTTACTATAGCTGCAACGTTCCAGGTCTGATGTATGACGAGCTTATCATCTTTTTTGTTCTGCTTCAAAGGTCCCTCTTTACTCATGACCCAAAATCTGTGGCGAGGAAAGAAAATAGACAACAAATTAGGTGCGCAGATTCTTAGGAGACCATTACAACAACAAAAACAACAACCCAGTAAAATCCTACAAGTGGGGTCCGGGGAGGGTAGTATGTACACAGACCTTACCCTACCCCGGAGGAGTAGAGAGATTGTTTCCGATAGACCCTCGGCTCAAGAATTGTTGAGACCATTGTTGGAAATAAATGAGAAATAACTAAATTACACCAAGTATCTTCAGTAGGAGTTTCAAACACAATAAGTGTAAGTTCGATTCTCATTATCCCATATACCTTTCCCGTCCTTCCATGTAATTTAAAAACATTTTAAAAAGTAAAACAAGAAACGAGAATCCTCTCTTTGATAGTGTTTATAACAATAACACCATACAAAAAATGGTTACAAATGGCTACTATTTTAGAAGCCTGTCCACTTAGTTTAGTTTTTTCAATACCTTAGGTTCTTTCCTTACAGGCTATCAACTCATCAAATCCAACATCCAAGACAAAACACACTGAATGATTATAAAGGAACAGATAGTGAACCACAAGGCATAGGCACTGTAAACTGGATGCTTTACTTTGGGTGTGGGAACTACTCTTGGGAGAAACATTGCACCAGCTCCACAGTATTACATGCCTTGACCAGCAGTATCCTTGTTATCTTCAGTCACACACACTTCTCAAGATACCAAAATATATTATATGCTAAAAGTTCATGGTTGTTACAAACAGAAACCATACAAATACAAATGCAAGACTGACTGAGTTTGAATGCTTACAAATTTTGAGAACTCTATGAAATGCCAATCCAAGAAAATTCAAAAGATCTTTTCTAGCATCGCGTACGCAGTTAAAAGTGTTAAAAGTTATTAAAACAGAGGGGAAATACTTCGCTTTTTTATGTCAGGTTCAAGTATTCCATTTCTTGCAGTTTTTTTCCTTTATATCGAGTTAAAAATTGGAAAGATTGAAGTTTCTTCTACGTTCTATCTGTGACTCAGGTGGACTTGGGCTTCTTCCGATGTCTTAGTTCAGGCCAACATTCTTCTTAAGGAAGAGCAAGTAAGTTGACAATGATCGCTTTAACTGAACGAGAAGTAACAGTTATATATCATAATGCTGCAGAAGTTCATCCACTTTGAACCATCAATGAAGCACCAATGATAATACTAGTTGAGACAGGGATCATACATCAGACCACAGTATATTTAAGTTTATCACCAATACCAGGTCAATGTCATGTTTTAACATTACAACAGAACTTAGATGACAGTTTTCTCAATTTTGAAATCTGAGCCAGCAATCATACCTTGTAGTCTGTTATAAAATTTTGCTCTTATTAAAAATAAAAAGAAAAAGAAAGAGCAAAAAAAAGTTTAGCAGAAGACTTAAAAGCTGAGAAGTACTAAGGTAAGAAGACACGGCAGTATGTTCCGCATTCTCACTCCTCTGACCTAATTCACGAAAGTTCGAGAGATGAAAATCCATGTTATGAATACGGCAGAAAAGGCAGAGTGGTAAGAACTGCAGCGAATTTTAAGGGAGAAGCTAGATAAGATGTTTTTTTTCCTTGATAAGGTAAAAAAAATTATTAATAAAAGTACCAAGCTGGTAAATTACAAAGAAACATACAACCCCTACACCAATTTCAAGTTACATAATTCTCAAATGAATTCAAAAAATCCAAATACTGATCCATATCGTGAAGCAAACTCTTCTCACACCAAAAAAACAGACTGTGAAGGCAGAGGTTCTTGACTCTGGAGATATGATTCTTATTATTCTCAAAGCAAGCATTGTTCCTCTCACTCCAAATGGTCAAGAAAATACACAAAAGGGATGGTCCTCCAAAACATTTTCTGGGTTCTTGCTATCTTCTGTCCGCTCCAACTATCAAGTAGGAACCTGACATCTGAGGGCAAGGGCAGCCCGGTCATTAAGCTCCCGCTATGCGCGGGGTCCGGCGAAGGGCCGGACCAAAAGGGTCTAATGTACGCAGCTTTACCCTGCATTTCTGCAAGAGGCTGTTTCCACAGCTTGAACCCGTGACCTCCTGGTCACATGACAACAACTTTACCAGTTACGCCAAGGCTCCCCTTCACCTGACATCTGAGGGCATTACCCAAATTACACCACATAGATTCAGGAAGAGCTCCCAACACTGCTTAGGCACTCTACAATGAATAAACAGGTGATTAACTGTTTCTAGCTATGTTGCGCGGACTCTCCAAAATATTGCAGTGTATTTTTGGAGAATCCGATACGCACCCGGTGACATTTTAAGAGAGTCCGAGCAACATAGGTTTCTAGTTCCTCTTCACAAAGATACCATCTGTTACTTAACATGAAACCCCTCCTCTGTAGATTATCTTGGGTTAGGCATGCTTTTCTCATGACAACCCACCCAAAACAAGCCACCTTGCTAGGTGCTTTGGATCTCCATAACATCTTCCATGGCCAGTTGGGTTCGAAATATTCTGAATGCTTTTGTAGAATGCTATAGCAACTTTTAACAGAGAATTGCTTGCTGTCCATACCATAGTGTCCTCCTTATTTTCTACAACCACTGCTGTACTCAGTACTTGTAATAGTTGCCCAACTTCCACTACCTCCCAATCATTAAATCCCTTCTAAAATTCAATTGCCGCCCATCAGGAAAGTAAATTTCAGAGACACAACCTTCCCTATTAAAGGAGCAATTGTAAAGAGTTGGGAATCCTTTTTTTAGATATAAGTAAAGATTTTATTATAACTGGTACCAAGATGGTACATAGAAAGAGTACAAGACCAGACTACAGCTCTTACTTAATTCATACTACATATTTTCTCCTAACAAGTGCAAAAAATCGAAATACTGGTCCATCTCATCTAAAGAACTGCTATAACACCAGAAATACAAATTTTTAATACATTTGTTTTTGACTCTGGCAATCTGCAGTCTCTTCCCCTCAAAGCATGTTTTATTTCGCTCCAGCCGTAATGTCCATGTTATGCAGTTGGGAACAGTTTTTCGAACTCCCACCCAAACTTCCGACCAAAACTTTATCTTGGCCCCATTACCAAGTTTCAATTTAGTGTGTTGTTGAAATTCATTCCACAACTTATTCATAGTAGTCCAGATACTACCTCTTGAAGAATTTTGAGCCATAGGGGGGCACCATGAGCCTTTCCTCACATATTTCGCATGTATCAGATTTTTCCAGGTTTTATCAATCCCATCATTATATTTCCATAGCCATCTGAACAATAAGTTCTTATTATATAATCTCAAATTAACCCCCATGCCACCAGTCAATCATTATCTTTTGCCATTTTACCAAATGTAGCTTCCTCTTCTCTGCCATGCCTTCCCACAGAAGATTACTCCTTAGATATTTAGTTTCTTCTCCACATACACACAGAGGCGAACCCAGGATTTTAGCACGGCGGGGGCACCACTGTATGCTAATCACTAGCGATAAAATTTAGCGTGCATCTTTTTGAAAACTTAATGATTATGATGACTTATCATCCCAGTATAAACAAAAAAAAGTTCTAAAAAAAAAAAAGAAAGCATCAAACAGAGAGAGATTTCTTCGCAAAATGGGTGCTATGTGAAGAGAAGGTGTTTGATTACGCATGTTTCACACTTTGAAAATTCGAGTTTTCAATTAAACAAAGGGGTCAGTGATCAAAAGGGCGTTCAAACTTTAAATTATCAAAAACTTACTAAAAAATCAAGATCAAGGGTATGTTGATAGTCAAAGAATTAGTTGTTAGTGCGTCAAAGTAAGGTTGTTGCAGAAAGATTTTTTTTTTTTTCTTCTATTTGTAGAGCGATAATTTGCAATTTGAGACTTTTAATTTCAAGGAGAAATTTGAAAAAGAATAAAACAAAGTTGACTATTATGTATTAATGCTTAACTGTAATTGAATTAAAAAATGAAGAAGATAAAAGTAAGAAGTAAAGCAATTTGCTATGAAGTATAAATTACGTTGTATTAAAATAAAACGAGGAGAAAATAAAGGAGCAAAAGCTGAAGAGGGGGGTCGAACCCACGTCTTCCAGCAAAGGAGGGATTTTGAGCAACCAAAGCAACCACTTCTCGTGTCTGGGCTTTTGTGTTAAGGGTCACAAGTAAAATATTTAATGGGTCCCATATATGTGTGCAGATATATATAACATATATATATACAAGGTTTTTGCCGAGGCTAACGGGGTCCAGTGACCCCTCAACCAACAACGTAGGTCTGCCTCTGCATACACAGGTAGCTGAAACATAGACATAAGATAAGTAGGCATTCCATCCAAGACACTGCTAAAGTAAGTCTGCCTCCAAGTGATAAATAATGCATTTTTCATGGAGTGAGCTTTGTAGTACATCTATCCACTACCCCTTGCCAGTTTGTTTTATCATTCTTCTTAGCACCCAAAGGCAATGGCTCATCACGTACATTTTGTTAGTATCCATACATGTCTATGCATCCATATAACCTTCCTTTGCTACTACCTAAACTAGAAGAACCGTTATGAACCTTTTGGTCAATTAACAGAATTGCTAATGAATCGACCTAAAAGACTAGTTCCATACCTAAAGGTGGATACCAATAAGATGATTTTCTTCAGCACAGTCAGTTACGGTGTCAAATGATGCTTTAGTGACAATCTTTATTCTTTAGAAAATTGGATTAGCTGATGCTTGTTTATATAGAAGTTTCAAATATTCCAAATGATGGAAGGAAATAAGAGAGCTTAATGTGTTCTTTCTTAATAAAATTCTAAACCTTCAGATATCTATCCACATCAAAAGCACAACAGACATTAAATTTAAACCTATGAATCAAATCCTACAATTTAAAACTTGAGCAAAAGAAAGAGAAATTTTAGGTGCCGAGGATCAGAGTTACATCATCACGTTCTGATAGACATGCAATATGGTATACTATGTGATAATGACCGTGAGAATCAAGGTGTTGAGGTTCAGGCTTTTGAAGATTATGGGATCCGAATTTGATGTTTAGCTGTAAAGTGGAGGTAGGAAGTGAAAACTGTTTGTTATATCTGCAGCAAATGCAAACCTTTTTTTTTTTTTTTGAAAATGAAGGAGCAAATGCAAACTTAAACTTGCAAGATCACAAGCAATGTGCGCATGTACAAACAGATAGACAGACACAAACACACAGAGACATACACACAAAGCTATGTGCATCTGTGCACCCATATGTTTACACTATTCAACAACAACAACAACCCAGTGAAATCCCACAAGTGGGGTCTTGGGAGGGTATGTGTGTACGCAGACTTTACCCCTACTCCGGAGGAGACCTAATGTTTACAGTATTCCTGAATAAAAGATCAAGTAAACTAAAGATGGAGAATTCCAAGTCCTTTGCAATTTAAAAGATAATTATGAATATCTTTCACCAAGCAAGAAAAAAAAGGTATCTGTTTGTTTCAACTTAAATTTTAGGTAAACTGAGCCCCCATCAGAGAACTTGGTCATGAATTAAATCAGGGTTCACTTGAAGTTGATTTTAGAATTACAATCCATAACAATATCTTGGAGAAAACTTCAGGTACTTTTATGAGTAGCACTTTAGTTACCTATTGTGAAGATATTCTCATTAATTTAGACCCTTCTGTTTGCCTCTGAGATCAACCTCAATCTCCGAGTCTCTCCACTGGATTATAGCATACGAAACCACAGTATGTACAATTGGCAGCAAAGTTATTTGAAAAAGGTAATCCATCATCTCTGTCCATCTCCTCAACATTACGAAATCCTTCTTAGGATGGAATCTATAGTGGAATCACCAGTTCATCTCTCCTTTTTATAAGAATGAAGCTGAAGCCAACAATCAATTGCTGCATCAATCATGTCCTGAATAAAGTACAACCCAAAATGATTGCTCGGAAGTCCAAAGTGGAGAACTTCATTGTCATAGACTTAACTTTGCATCAAAATGTTACGATAAATCAAATCAAAAGTACCTGAACGAGAGTCCAACTCCCACCATGCACGAGCATCTTCCTTAGAGATGGAAGCACCAACATCCTTGTTATCATCTTCCCCTGAAAAGAGTCCATCAGAATCATCGCTCTCAACTTTGGAGTAATACTGCTTTTTCTCCACCTCTGGATCATAAGTCCACTCCAATCTTTTCAGAACATCTCGGTCCTTCCACCGGCCAACAACAGAGACAGCTTCTTTCTTGGCCTTTCCCATCATGATCTCTTGCCACGAGAAAGCAGCATCTGCTGTTCTCTTAAGAGCACCGTCATTGCAATCACCAACAACTACTGTCTTCAAACACCTCAACCTCGCCTCCTTCAAGACTTCCACGAAATCCGAATCATCAGACACAAGAACCACACACTCCACCATCCTCTTATCCATCACATCAACCAAATGATTCCTCAATGCAACATCAGCAGCTTGTGGCTTATCTGAAACAGTCCTAACCCAAAAGCCTGCTCGTTTTAACTCATCCGCCAAACCATACCCGACTTTCGGAGTCAAAACATCCCTAACAGCATTCTTATACTTATCCATTTTCATTGCATACTTAGCCACCAACTTTACCCTCATTTTTCCTCTAGCAGACTCTAGCTGATTCAACCTTTTTGTATGCTCGCGCTCGTGAATTTGCTTAAAATGATTCACAAGCTTCTCATTAGTATAAAATCTCCTCCCGCACACTCTACAAAAATAAGGCTCCTCTACCTTTACAACCCCACTTTTTTCCAAAGAATTCAATGTTTTCCTCTCTTTCCTTTGCTGCCTAACTAAAGGAGGAACATAACTAAACGCATGTCGATTAGCATAAGCTACTGTATATCTCACAACCCCAAATTCCCCAGCTGCCTTTTTTAGCTTTGTGGCAGCTTCAAATGGTGGGAATGACTTAGGCGGTTTGTTATCCAAATCCCAGAAAATCCCAACATTGGTTCTAACTGATGAGCCTAAAGAACCAAAACCCAAATGGGATTTGGATTCAAAGTGACAAAATCTTTTATAGGAGCGAATAGCATGGATAAAGGTGCTAGCTTTGACACGTTTCATCATCTTCTGAGAAACAAGAATAAAAAATTGTGGCTTTCTTGATACTACAGAGGCAAAAAAAAAAACCAGTTTACTGTTAAGATATTCCACAAAGGAAATATGCTTAATTACAAGAATTACTCAAAAAGCAGGGTTAACAAGCACAAAGCACTAAGAAAATGTTTGCGCCCTGCACTATTGTCTCTGGAAATGGAAGGTGGAATCACGGTGGAGATGATGTAAGATTCCGGCGTGTCAGGCGGTGCTGAGGGGCTATGGAGGTTTCAACAGGCGGCGTGAGGAGCTATACGTTACTTTAACAGGTTTTGTTAGTGGGCGTTGGGACATAAGAATTTGTAAAATTTCGGGAAAAAAAAGTGGGAAGAAAAATTAAGTTAAAAATAGTATTTGAAAATTAGAGTTTTGTTTGAACATAAATATAATTTAGGATTGTGTTTGAATTTTTATAAGTGATCCGATGTGAAAATTTTTGAAAAATAACTTTTTGGAGTTTTCAAATGTTCGAAAAATTCTGAAATTTATCTTCTAAGTGAAAATTGAAAATTTCCCGACCAAATACTAATTTCGAAAAGAAAAAAAAAGGTTAAGAAAAATGAAGGGTGAGGATTAGAAGTGACAAAAACGGGATCGTTTTGGTTCGAAGAGGGATTTGGGTCGGATTTGACCATTGGATTAGGGGTGGATCTAAGGGGATTTGGGCCATTGAGGCACCTGGCCCAACCGAAATGAAGGACCCTTTTTTAGAGATTTTTTCTTTCCTATACCATATATGAAACCTTATTACCAAAAATGTTCATAGTTTCTAATTTACCCGCCCTGTCCATATTTTTTCTACAGTTATTATACCAATCATTAAATACTAATTAATAGTACCTGAATCTTCCTAATTTGTCGAGCTAAAATTGAGGAACAGAATATTCTAAAAAATATGGCGTAAATCAGATCAAATCATATTCTTCCAGATATTCCTATTTAGGCGCGCTACAATTATGGAAGTAAATATTCTTCCAGATATTTTCCACCATTGATAGTCATTAAAAAGCTTGAAAGCTTTGAATTCAAATTTGGGTTTTCGAAAATCATTATTTGTTTGGATTGGGTGTAGTTGAAAATAATCGGGAATATGGTTTGGAGTTTATATCTCAATTTTGAGGGGTTTTGGTGAAGATTAGACTTGGTTTTGACTGAAATTCATATTGAAACTCGAAGAAGAAGAAGAAGAAGACATATTGCAGAAATTGTAGATAAATTGTAGATAAATTATAGATTATTTGTATTCTGATTGTAGATGCTTTATTTTCTGTTTTCACAAATAAAAAACGGCTAAAACTTCTACAAATCTTCTGAAAAAACAGAATTATGTCAAAAATCACAACTATGCTACAATTGGATGAGAATTGGGATATAAAAATTCAATGTACCAGTTTGTAGATATTTTGTAGATAACTTATAGATTATTTGTATTCTAATTGTAGGTGCTTTGTTTTCTGTTTTCACAAATCAAAAACGACTAAAACTTCTACAAATCTTCTGAAAAAATGCAATTATGTCGAAAATGTCAATTATGCTACAATTGAAATGGGAATTGGGATATTAAAATTCAATGTATCCAGTTTGTAGATATTCTGTAGATAAATTGTAGATTATTTGTATTCTGATTGTAGATGCATTGTTTTCTGTTTTCACAAATCCAAAACGACTAAAACTTCTACAAAATCTTCTGCAAAAAACAGTCTACAATTTATCTACAAATTTTCTACAATTATCTACAATTTCTGCAATATGTCTTCTTCTTCTTCTTCGAGTTTCAATCTGAATTTCAGTCAAAACCAAGTCTAATCTTCACTAAAACCCCTCAAAATTGAGATATAAACTCCAAAACATATTCTCAATTATTTTCAACAACACCCAATCAAAACAAATAATGATTTTTGAAAATCCAAATTTGAATTCAAAGCTTCAAAGCTTTTTAATGGTTGTCAATGGTGGAATTGCTGCTCTCTTGTCTCTTTGAAGGTTTGTTCTTCTTCATTGAGAAAATTTGAAGCTGAAGGTAAATGTGTGTATGAACTTTGAAGATTTGACTTCAATTTTGATGAACTTTGTTGTTCTTCATTGATGAACTTCAACTGGAGTAAAATGGGGAACCAACTTTGTTGAAGGGTTTCTTCAATTTTCTGTGAATTTAGAGGGAGAATTTGGTTTCAGAAGATGGAAAATGGTAAAAAGAACGTGGGTATGGGTAAAACGTGGGTGTGACCGAGGGGTTAGGAGAGAGAAACGTGCAGATTCCTTTAATTAAGGAGTAAAAAATGTACAATTAATTATACCCTTAATTAATTATGGTATAGAATTGGTAATTTGGTATACTAAGTATAATTAAGTCAAACCTTAAACATTGAGGGTAATAAGGTTTTCTATGTGGCATAGGAATGTAAAAATCTCTTTATTATTTTTGTTTTAAACTTCAAAAATAGCCCTCTTAACTAAATTCTAATTTTAAACCTAAATTGCAAAATCAGCCTAATTACTTTATTTTAACTAGAAATTTAATCAAATGGCTAATTAATTAAACCTAAAAATTCGTAAACAAAAGCAGAGTGACTAATGTATTTTTATGATTTTCATGTATTAATTATGCGCTCAATAAATCCTAAAAAGATGTAGTTCAAAATCTAAAATGCGATGCAATTAAGATTTGAACAATTTTTATGATTTTTATGATTTATGATATTAAATATGCACAAAAATGCAACTAAATGCAAACAAACAATTAAAGAAAAATTCCTAGAAATTTTATAAAATAAAAAACAACTAGGAAAAAAATTATTTTCGTGAATTTTGTAGGAGTATTTCGTAGGGAAAAAATTACGTACTCACAATGATTCTGCCAGGTACAAATGCAGCTAGCTCCCATCAATGAGGTTGTCCATAACCCCCCGTAATCTGTTAGTGAGCATTTTGGATATGATCTTATAGATTTTAGAGCAGCAATAGATAGGTCTATATTGTTTTACTAAGGAAGGACTTCTAACTTTAGGAACTAAGGTGATAGATGTGCAGTTTATCGGTTGGTATAGTTTCATGGTGTCAAAGAAGTTCAGAACAACTTCAGTTACCTCATCTCCAACCGTGATCCATGCTTTCTTAAAGAATATTGAGTTAAAATCATCTTTCCCTGGAGCTTTGTGATCATCAATCCCCTGTAATGCTTGCCAAACCTCTTCCTTGATAAATGGTCGAATAAGTTGCAACGGTTGTGCCCTTGATAGGATAGATCCCTTCCTTATAACATCTAATTATATAGCAGGTAATGTGGGATTTGTAGCCCCAAGTAGGTTCTTATAGAAACCTAGAATCCCCCAAGTAAGTTCTTATAGAAACCTAGAATCTCCTCCTCTATCCACTTTTCTGATTGGATAATTTCACCTGTTGCACTAACAATTGATTTAATCTGATTCTAAGCTCTCCTATTCTTGATGCTAGCAAAGAAATAAGCTGAGTTTTAGTCCTCTAATTTAAGCCACTGTACTTTGGACTTCTACTTGTATGCTTTCCTCTATTAGATCCTATTTTTCCAGTTGAGATCTTAGTTTTTTCTCTACTTCAAAGTTATGAGGATCCTAATTATATGTTGTCATTTGCTGTTGTAGCAGCTAGAGATCATTCCTGTTTAATTTTCTCATCTATCCCAGTGAACTCCTTTGTGTTTAAGGCTTTCATTGCTTATTTCATGGTTTTCAGCTTGAGCCATATTCTTTCAAGGTATATTTCATTGGTATTGGCCTTCCAGTTGTCTTTTACTATTTTCCCAAAGTTTGAATGATCAGCTAGACTATTCAAAAATCTGAAAGGTCTTGGTGTTCTCTTCTATTGTCTCCCCAACTCGATACTTAGTGGTGAATAATCAGAATATGGGTCTAGGACATGAACAGGAACAAGAGGCTTTTTCATGATTAACTAATAAAGTAAGATGAGAATATATAGTAATTAACAATAATTTATGAATAATTATGTTTGTGAAGATATATTTAATGAAATTATTAATTTAGTATAAATAATCGGTGGGGATAAATTTGGGGCATTTGCATCTGTACCTAGTTTTGGGGGTTACAATTGAACTTATACCCACTTTGCACAAAATTTTGAAGTCTACAACATTAAGATCAACTTCAGACTTATCGGATCTGAAGTGCAATGCACTTAATGCCAATTAAGTCTAAAGTGTAAAAATTTCACTTATGATGCACTTAAGGCCAAATAGGTCTGAAGTAAAAAAATTGCAGTTTAGATGTACTTAAGGACAAATAGGCCAATATTTTCATACCCTTAAGGCCAAATAGGTCTGTGATGACCCAAAAGGTCATCACTTATTTTTAACATGAATTCTGCATTCCGAGGCCTTAAAAACCTCTTTCAGCATCACCTCGATTTGTGTGCGCAGTCCGGGTGCGTAGCCGTAAAGCTATTGAAAAATATTGAAATTTTGACTTTAAATGCATTTAAGTTGACTTCGGTCAATATTTTGGGTAAACGGACCCGGACCCGTGATTTGACGGTCCCGAGGGTCCGTGGAAAAATATGGGACTTGGGCGTATGCCCGGAATCGAATTCCGAGATCCCAAGCACGAGAAATGAATTTTTAAAGAAAATTATTTTCTAGAATTATTTATGAGTTTTGGAAATGAGATGTGTTTCAAATTTGATGGTATCGGGCCCGTATTATGGTTCCGTATGCCCGGTACAGGTCTTATATGTGGTTTAAGTCGAGTCTGTAAATTTTGGTAAGAAACGGACTTGAAATGACGTGAATCGGACCGTATTTGAGAAAATTGAAAAATTTGAAGTTCTTAAGTGATTTTATGATTTTGATGCTAAATTCATAGTTGTTGATGTTATTTTGGCGATTTGATCGCACGAGTAAGTTCGTAGAGTATTTTTGAGGTAGTGTGCATGTTTGGTTTGGAGCCCCGAGGGCTCGGGTGAGTTTCGGGTAGGTTCCGGGATGTCCTAGGCTTAAAACATGGATGTTGCAGGTTCAGAGAAGTGCAAATCTCTGAACCCGCCAGTGCTGACCGCATTGGTTTTGGTGCTGTGCGCGGTGGGAGCTGTGCGGCCGCACTCGATTTTGTGCGGTCCGCACAGGTTCACTGGTCCGACTTCGGAAGCCTATATCTTTTGATCTACAAGGAATTTTAAGATGATTCAAAAACAAAAATTTTAGCCCTTCATGTGTAGTTTCCAGAAAGGTAAAGAAATCACAATTTGGACATCTGTAGAGAAAGTTATGGCCAAAATACTAAAGCATGTCACTGCAGTCC